ATGCGCGGGTGCTACGCTTAAAGTTTAGGCAAGCTGGGAAATCCTCGCCCCTTAAACCCGGACCAGACTTGCAAGAGCTCGCAAGAAAAAGAACAATTAATTAAGCCCAAAAAACGAGTTGAGCTCCAAAGGAGAGTATACCATAAACCCTAAACACTAAACTTAAACCCTAAACCCTAAAAAGGCAGCCAGCCGGCCGCATGCCACGCTCTTCGAATGCCCGGATGCTGTCGGCGCCGGGCGCTCCGCCGACGGCTGGCGCCTGGTCCCCTTGAGCAGCTTGGCCTACGATACCAGTAAAGATTAAAGATGATCATTTGTAATATGGCCCCAAGAGGGAACCAGAGTATAGGCATCTACAAACTTATCCTAGTATGGGTGGGTTTAGGGTTTATCTGGATGTATAGGGGGTTTAGGGGGTCTATAGGGTGTATAGGGCATAAAGGGTTGTATGGTTGTAGGGTTAAGGGTTTCAGACAAGGGCCAATCCTTTTGGGATTAGGCCTTTCATGTCAGGGTTAGGACGTTTTTGGGGGATTTCTGTTCAAAATGTCTAGTTGCCGAAACTTCCGGGTCCCGTTTAGGATGGATCATGTTAATCATTGCTTTGCTAGGTCTGTCCATAGGGGCTTAGCTCACCTTAGATGGACCTGCAGGTAGTTAGTTACCGAAATCAGCTACGGTGCCAGTATGAAAACGTAACGCAGCCCCTAAGCCCTAAACCCATTGCTGCACAGTTGTGAGATCGGCCCTGGGAACTTTAAATGACAAGCCCCAAAACCCAACTAAGGTTTATGGGCACTCCAAATGCAGTCGAACTTTCTTTTTATGTACTCATGGTACCTCAAGCAACCGTTAGACCCCCTCTACGACTCCGTACAAACCTTACAAACTTCGGTTGTGATAAAGAAGCACAGACATTAATCCAGTTACACACATTGGTCGGAGCCACCGAAAACCCAAAGCCTACGTTGAGCCTTCCTTACAAAGCCCTCCAAGACGTTAACCTTACGGGCCGTACAGGGCCCAACCTCCAGAGCCCAAGGCATCCTTAAGAGTGGTTTTGGATGCCCTGACGGACCCAATTCGTCCTATAGTCAGGCGTCCTGGGATCCTTGGCACAGAATCCCTATGCAACACCCTGCCAAGCCCCATATATTCATATACAACTGAATACAACTATGTAGTACCCCAACCTTAAACACAACAGCCTGTTGGCTCGCTTGGTCGTTCTATTCAGTCGGAACAGTAGCCGCACAAGCCTGCTTTGTTCAACCTATAGCCCTAAACCCTGTCAACCCTACAACAACCCTATGCATCCCTTGTGAAACTCTCAAGAAGCTCTTAAACGAACCCTTCTAGATCCTGTAGTAAGAAGCCCTTACAGGAACCCTGTGACAATATACTAGTTTAGAATGGACGATATTCCAGTATACTACAACATACTATGATATAGTATAATGGACTATAATTCACGGTAACAGACTATAATTAATATACTAATATATGATAAAGCCCATGATGAAGATATTTTCCGAGGCCAGGAGCCCTGGGCGAAGCCTGGTCCGCTAATGGCCGCGGTGACCTTGGCGGTGTTTACATACATACATATATACACACAACACACACACACACACACGCATATATATATATATATGTAACAGACACGCAGGTAAATACAAGTAAACACACACATACATATACATATATATATACACACATATATATATATGTATATGTATATGTATATGTATATGTATATGTATATGCTCACGTCTATGTGTTTATGTATGTATGTATGTATGTATATATATATACACGCATGCGTATACAGTACAGAGAGGTATGTGTATGTATGCATATATATATATACACATACATACATACACATACACATACACGCACGCATATGGATGGTTTTGTTATTTAGGGATTAGGGTTCCTTTGAAGGTTTCTATAGGGTTTGCTACATGAGGTATGTTTGCATCATTGCTCGGCGGTGTTGTTCGTTGGCTGAAAAATTCGGATTTAAGGTTTAGGGTTTTGGATGAAGGACTCGAGGTGTCGAGTTCTGAGGTTTCCGGCTCTTCGGCTCTCGAGGCTTAGGCAATGAGTGACTACGGGTGTTCGGGCATCATGCCCCAAAGAAGAACGGAGGTTTCTGCGCTTGGTGTGTTGAGTTCGTGATGTTGTTGTAGCATGCTCGAGCCTAGCTGCGTGATGCGATGCCCACAGAGACCTCTAAACTACAAAGTGTTTGGTTCTTCTACCGGAAATAGCTTGGAAGCCGCGAATCCGCAAATGAGCCCACCCGTTCTGAGTTTCCCATGATGAAGTTGATAGACGAGAGAAGAGCTGCTTCCGTCGCATGGATCGGGGCGACGAGAACGGTGTACAGATGGCTATTCTTAGTAACCTGGTAACCCACCGACATGATTGCAAACCTGGTCCACCTGTTTCTCGCCTCTACAACCCCTAGAATATCGACACACCAAACTTTTATGAACCCCAAGCCGGAGCCACCCTCAACCCTAAACCCTAAACCTTAAAGCCGGAGCCAGTGGGCATAGATCCTCAGCCATTCGAGAGGGACCCTAAACCCTAAACCCTAAAAGCCGGAGCCAGGTGAACTTTCGCCGGCCGAGTTGGGACCCCTTGGGGCAATCGGTGGTCTTCCCTTTCGGGGAACGGAAGAATTGTGCCTCTTGGCTTTTTTCGGGCCTGGGACCTTGGAGCCTTAGATGGTTTTGGGCTTCGGGTTTGGGGGTTTAAGGGGGGTTTTGGGTACAAGATCTTGGCGAACTTAGTATTTTGCAGGGCTTGAGCTTTGAGTGACTGGCGATTTGTGTTTGAGCGTATTCCGGGACCGCCTCGACAAACACTTCTTTGAATCAGGAGAGAAACTCCCAGCAACACAACCTTTTTCCCCGAAGCACTTCACGCTACAATCGATCTTGCCGAGGAGATCAGCACTGCTCGGTTCTACGCTGCACTCTTCGCTGAGCCGTGGAAGGTGGGGTATTTTGTGCAATCTAGTCTGAATTTGCTATAGTGATTATCTTAGCCTCATAAGGGGTCTCCGCTCACACTTGGCAGATCAAGTACAAATCAAGAATCAAGTACGTACAGCCTTACAACTGACTGCTACCTACCATCACCGCCACCACCACCACAACTTTTACTACTCACTGCCAGTCACTGCCACTATCACAACCGAGCTAAAAGCCCCAGAGCCCCACAGCCTCCAAAACCTCATTGCCCCGTGGGACCTGTGGACCTCGCCAGGTATGTCCCAGCTGTGAGTGCTGAAGCCAAACACCCTAAACCCTAAACCCCTAAGCACCCGAACCATAAAGCCCGAAACCCTGAACCCTAAACCCTACGAGGCTCCAAAGCTTTACCGCGGACACAAGAGCCAGATCTCCGTGGTTCAGTTTTCCCCTGCCGTGACCCTCGGCCTTTTTAGGGTTTTAGGGTTTAGGGTTTCTGGGTTTTAGAGTTGTTTACTGCATCTAAGGTTTCCGGTGTTTTATTGGAAAGGTGGGGTCTGTGCCCTGTAAGGAAATGTGGGGTTATAACTTACGGTACTAAATTGCAGGCTTTGGGGCTACAGCAATGTGGGGATTCAGGGTTTTCTTTAGCCTTTTGGGTTTCATTTGGCCGTCTTCCTTGTTATGGTGGTCAGCGTCGGCGTCTACAAGTTCTTTTGGGTTTCATTTCTGCATTGTTTGTGCAGGTTCGGTTTCCCGAGTTCTGTTTGCAAGCGATTCTGCGCAGAACGTCAAGCCAAGCCCAATTTAAAGATAACTGCATAGGATGGGCGTCTTCAGGTTTAGGGTAGGGCTCCTTTCCGAATCGTAGGGTCCCCGGCCGCTGAGGTATGGCAACAGCCAGAACCCGGAGCGCTTCGCACAGCACTGAAGTTCCTTCAGAAAAAGGGATCGTTCGGTTTAGGGTTCAGGATTCAGGGTTTAGGGGTGATTGGCGCCACGAGTGCGATGTGCTGCGAGGGATCTGGCCGGGCGAGCTCAGTTCAAGCCTGTGGAAAAAGGGGTGATTGGTGGTTCAGGGCTGAGGATTGATGGCTTCCTTTGGAGGGGTAGAACCGGGTAGAAGCGGGTTTTGAAAAAGTCTGGTGTTTATGGCTTTTTCCGCGAGCCCGTACCTCCCCCACTGTCGGCCCCTCACTTGGAATTTCATAAATCCTAGAATCCTGCCGCTGAATTTGCGATGAGGTCGTGCGGCTTTAGGGTGTAGGCTTCTTGGGTTGGCAATGTTTGGGGGGTGCAAGTTTCTGCGGGTTTGTGGGGCGCTCGCCGTTCCCAAGAAAGAAGATAACCCATAAACAAACTCTTTTGAAGCCCGCCCTTTTTTGTGGGAATGGCTGAAGGGATCTGTGCAGAATTCATGATGGTCGGGCTCGGGAGTCGAGCTGTTCGGGCTGATACAGATCGAGTTGTTTATTTTCGGATTGGGCTTCCTTTTTTGTACGTCCGGCCGTGGAAATGGAGGGGTCTGAAAGATTGGCACTATAGTACCCCCCAGAGATCAATTTATGACATGAGGCTGCCCAAAACTCTAGTCTGATTCTTCAGGCCTCTATATACTAGAGTTTGGAGGGTCTTGTAGTTGTCCAGTGCTTAAAGTTGTCAGCAACAGCCATAAATTTGAACATAGAAACCGGAGTCGTCCTTCGACTTTTCCCACTAGTCTTTCCAATTAACAGTTATGGCCCCTAGGTCATAGAGCCCCTATCGCAACCCTTGCAATAGAACCATCTAAGCGACCCATGTCCCAACTGTCTGGCTTCCCCCGTACGAAGCAACTGAAAGTCGGTTTCCTTCTCTGTCGGGTGTCCAGAGCACGCTCCCTGCTGAAAGTCCTTGACAACATTGTGCTGCTGCTCACACACAAACAGCCTTAGTTACCCGTGCCAGGCCGTTACAGTGTCCATCGTTTAGGGTACTTCAATCCATGCAGCTGTCACCGTCCATCCCTAGGAATGCCGCCGTGGTCCTGGCCCTTGCCGGAACGGATGCTTGGAGCCCCAAGACCCTGAATCCCTGAAGCCTAAACCCAGGAGCCCTAAGCCCTAAACCCAGGACTGTAATTTTTACAATATGCATGTATATCATTATATATTATATATTATACATTGTATATAATACATTATATGTTATAGTATAGAGTATGTCTCGACATATATATATATATACATACATACATACATACATACATGCATACATACACATACATACGTGTAATTTTCTTAGCAAGAGCTCAGGATGGAGTCCTGTCCATTTGGATCTCCAGCCTCCCTGTGCCGATTCTGGTGTGGAAGGATTTGGTCGATGAGAATTGTTCCTCGGCTTGCCATGGGGCTCCAACCTGCTATCCTATCATAATGTTTCCAAAACCGTAAACCCGAAACCCTACAATTTTGTCATAGGTGTTTCCCGCCGGAGATTTTGAGATTAGGTTCAGCGGTGCTATTGGGGCGAGCCGGTATGCCCATCCATTTTACCGAAGACGTCTAGGGTAGCGGGTAGCGGTCGGCATAACCAGTCCTACTGTAGTACTGGGTATAGCAACCTTCAACACCCGAGTCTTGTTCTTGTTGAGGCCCTCGACCAGAGCCCTCGGTAAACCTGAGGGTTTCGGAGTCCACGGGCGTCTATGGTTTGCTCCACTCTCTTCTCAGCATCTTTACTTGAGGGCTCGTTCTTCAGTATTCCTTGTGTAGGCTGTAGTTGGATAGGTTTCGAAGTTCCCGAGTTAAGGCATTCAGTGGCCTCTGGGCATGCAGAGAGGCGGACGCCCAACTTTGCAACGCCAGGCTTCATCACCGACCTTTCTTGGACACCCGATGGGTCCGTGGCTTGGCGGGAGTAAACACCCCCCGCGTGACGTGCACTAACGTGCACTGCACTACAGCCCTGCAAGCTTTGCTTCTGAATCCTAAACCCTCCAGCCAAGACGCAGACTCCAAGGCCTTATCTACATATCTCCCTTGCAGTTTCTTTGTTTAGTCACTTTGTTTTTCTTCCATCGTAGCGATCCTAAGCAGAAGTCGGTTGAAGCACTGCGACCTGTCTCAGGTCCTGTGCTTCTCCTCCAGCCGCTCGGTGTCCCAAAAACCGGCTTCTGAGCCTCTGAGCTCTGCAATCTGCTCCCACCCCACGCAGGAACCAGATTTAGGAGATATCAAGAGATAGGTTCTCCCAGGGCATGAAGAGACTTGTGTAAACTCTAAACCCTAAACCCTACGCCCTAAACCCTAAAGCCTTAAACCTCCAAAAACTAAGCCCTAAACCCTAAACCCTACTAAACCCTAAACCGTCAGTGTAGAACTAAATTTAAGGCGGGTTCTTTTAATTCGCCTGAGGCGGCGGGGGAGTCGGCTTGCTTCTCCTTGCGTTTGACCAGCTGCCGCTGCCGGAGGGCACGTGGCACTTGGGCATCTAATTAACCGCTTGGGGTTTAGGGTTTATAGGGTTTAGAGTGTAGTGTTTAGGGTTTAGGGGTGTAGGGGTTTAGAGGTTTAGGGTTTAGAGTTTTAGGGTATAGGGGTTTGGGGGTTTAGGGTTTAGGGGTTAGAGCCCTAGAAAGCCCAGGTGCCTTTGGGCTTCCTGTTTGAGTGAGGACGGCGGGTTCGGATTCAGTCCGGCTAGTTCTGCTAGCTCGAATTCAGGTGGAAGTCCCCCCGAAGCAAGTTCTTAGCACGATTGCGAGGGTGGCTTCCGAGTGCTCGTAATCCCACTTGACATCTCGCAACCCTGATCACTTGACCCCAACTTACTTGCAACCGTCACAATAATATGTTTTCTGAACACCCCCCTAGTAAACACATTTTTCGGAGAACCCACCCTGAAATCACACCGCCTTTTGAAACGACAGTACATATGAAACTCCTCATTTATAACATAGATTTTCGACTTCCTTGGCTGGGGTGGGGGGTTTACTATGTTTAAGATTCGGTGGAAGACCTAGAAATAAGCGAAACGTCAAACCGGTTAAACATTAGCGCAGTGAAGGTCGTTGTCACCCTGCCTAGAGGTAAAGCCCGGAATGGAATCGAAGACCCGGTGTTTCCAGCTGACGAGGTCCTTGGACGAGCTTCGTTTGTGGCGTTGCCGTCAGTATGTGCAGGTGCCCTGCTTGGCTGGTGAGGCTTTCCAAACCCTAAACCCTTGGCTTGCCCGAGTTGTGAGAGCGTAAACTCTAAACCCTAAACCCAAAGCCCTCAACCCTAAACCCTTTCCGTGATTTCTGTCTTTGTCAGAAGCCTGAAGCTAAAGAGTTGCCCGTCACCGCAAGAACTACACCCGAATCTCCGAAGTTCACACTTTCTGCCTGGGACAGTCACCCCGAGACTCTGAGGCCCCAAGCTCTAAACCGCCCCAAACCCTAAAATCATCCTACCTCTGTGCCCGCGACTAAACTCTACACTACGTTAGCCCCTACGTGGTTCTTGTGTTTATGTTTGTCATTTTGGTTGTTTGCGGAATTGCAGGAAAATGAGCGGTTTTCAAGAACTAGACAAATGAGATATTACTGGAGTGAAGCACACTCCAACACCCTAACCACGTGAAGACTCAAACAGAAGTCGTTTGTCTTCCCAAAGGCCCTGTAAACCCTTCTCACCCTAAACCCCTAGCCCGAGACCCGAAACCCTCAAACCCTAAACCCTCACCCGAAACTCCTATACTCTCAAACCCTAAACACTCAGCCTAAACCCTACACTCTCACACCCTAAACCTTTAGCCCCCAACCCTATAAAACCCTGAGCCCAGGTCGTTCAACCCAGCGCTGACCTGCCGAAGGACGCCAGCGCACTTGTGGGCGGCACTGCTCGCGAAGAGTTCTCCGGCTTCAGGGGTCTACAATTCTGGATTTCGGAGCCTCAGGTCTAGGGTTTTTGGAGGTTAAGGTCGTTTAGGGTTAAGGGTTTGGAGGTTAAGGCTGTTTAGGGTTTAGGGTTTTGAAGCTTAAGGTTGTTTAGGGCTTGCGGCTGTTATGACTTGAGGTTTTAGAGCTCAGGGGTTCCACAGGAGAGGGCTTAGGGTTTTTTGGGGGTTTAGGGTTTAGGCCATGTTGGGGCAGTTTTAGGGTTTGAGGCTTACCGGCTTTCAAGAACAAACACATCACGGGGTGGGTCCTGGTTTTGGGGTTGAAGCGGAACCATGTTGCTTCGTTGAGGTTGTTTGGCTGCTGCGTTTAGAACGCTCGAGGGGTTTGGGGGCGTGGGCTTGATGGTTGATAGGTTATACGTGGGGGTGTAGCAGGGCTTCGGGCGGAGAGTATTCAGGTTAAAGGTCCTAAAATTTACTTAGGGCTTATATAGGTAGTGTATGGTAATTGGTGTGTCGTGTCTGGGGCGTTGGGGTGAAGCGGAAGTAGGCGAGGATGCACAGTTTGCCTTCCTGAGCAGACATGCAGTTAGTTGCGGCTGTTGCTAGGGCAATTTAACAAAACCAACAGTTCGAACCACAGCGACGAGCAACCTGCTACTTGGACCTTAAACCACAGAGCATGAAACACTTGATAAGCTCCGGGCAATAATGGATGCGATACAGTTATGCACCAGAAAACATTAAGAATCCCATCAGCTCCACCTCTCCGCTCAGTATGGCTTATTCCTTGCCATAGGCTCAGCCGGTTGATTTGCCTGGTTCCGTCCAGGCGTGCTGAAACTGTTACGAGTTGGCATGCCAAACCATCACGCCTCTCTTTCCGCTTTTCGCCCCGGGTCTCCTCGCTCGCGCATCAGCGTGGGGCCTGAATCCTGGACTCGCGTTGGGGACAGCTGGACTGGGAGGCGACCCAGATCCAGTCCTTTTCCAGAGGAGACGTACGACACAGTAGTGAAAGTGTCCATCGTTTCTGGGGGCGTGGTGCTGGTAAGACATGCAGGCGTAAACAACAGATCTGACTTGCTGTGGGCCATGGCAAAAGTGTTTGATGCCATCGCTGACGTGAGGACTCCTTACCTGGACTCAGAGAATGAAGAGAACATTAGTTGCAAGCTGGTAACAGCGAAGGCTCTGCTTGATCTCCAGGAGAAGGTAGAGCAGCTATTCAACCAAGGGCACTGGGAGTGTGCAAAGAATGAGTTTTGCAAGCCTCAACTCATTTTGCGAGGCCGTGGCACATGCGTGCTCAGATTCGAAAAGGACATTTCTTATGCGCGCATGTTCTGGGCAACTATCACTATGCCCACAATCCCGCTCTCTTTCCTAAAGAACATGATCACCTCGGACAATGCGGCTGCAGCAGCCCAGCAAGCCTTCAGATACACTGTACTTGGTGGCGTCTTCGAAGGCAAGAGCATAATCCTTCTGACTTCGCCGTATCATGTCCAACAGCAGGAGTCTATGATTGCATCTGTCGCCCGGATGGGCGCAGGTGTCTCTGGTTTCCTGCGAGGGCTTGGCAGTATCTAGCAGCATGCTTCCAAAAAGACGACGAGGTCTCGTCGCCCAGCCCAGTGCTGTGGTCAGCTTAGGTTAAGGATTTTTGAGGGCTTGCGGCTGTAGAGTTTAGAGATTTTGACTCGGGGTGTTTTTGGGGCCTGAGGTTATTTACCATCTACAAGACCTCTGAAAGGGTGGCTTGAGGTTGTTGGGATTTGTGCAGAGGCGGTTTAGAGTCTGGGCTTGAAGGTTGATAGGGTCATCCCTGGTAGGCTGTAGCAGGGCAGGTTAAGGGTCCTAAAATTTCGCGCTTTTGGGCAGTGTGTCGTATCTGTAGAGTCTATAGGGCATTGGGGTGAAGGGTGTTTTGTCCCGTAGGCACCCTTAAGCTCGGTCAAGTTAGCAAGCACATACAAGCGTCCCATAATGCGACGAGCAACTTGTAAAACAAACAGCACGAAGCGCCTGAAACACCCTGGGCAACGGATGCGATGAAGTTGGGGGCTGCAGCAAAGTCATATTATGCACCACCTAACAACTCAAGACCCAAGTCCTGTGTCATATTTGGGCTTGGGGGTCGGAGTGCATCAAGTTTCTGCTTTGACAGCCGTGTAAGCCCTGGCCTGCTTTGTTTCCAGGGCTCCTATCATTCGTATTTACTTGCCGACCCGACATGAAAGCTGGGCCTGAGGCCGAGAAGCATGTTTGAACACCATGCTCAAAATACCGCCCGCGCGACGATGCCCCCCCATTTTTGGAAAAGATGGCACATGGCACAGCTCTTTGTCTGTCAAACCCTGCCATCCGGGTTATCTGGCAACTGCGGGAGGACATGGTAGTCCTGATGCTGTGACGGATTCCGTGTGGTTTCATGTGTGTAGTGGCAACGGTCCAAACAGATCGAGGCCCATCTCACTGAACCTTGGGTTTTGCTAAGTACGATTCGGGGCCTACGGCCACCACAGTCACAGTGTTTGCACTTGTACCCTCAACCAAAGCGCGAAAACATATCTTGTACTTTATGAGCACCCCCGAGACTCCAAGCGGCACGCTGGTTGTTTGTAGCTCCCACTATAAGGACGGCACCCGATGACATGGATCCAGATGAGGACTCTGCGCCAGAGAGGGTTCAAGGATTCGCGCTTAAAGATTGGTACAGGGACTTCTGGGAGAGAGGGAGTGCTCCTCTGCAAGCAAGCTGTCGCAGTGACTGGCCACAGTAAAGCCAGCCTGGTAAATCGGTTCATAGATTAGCAAACAAGGTGTAATCTGGCACTGCGGCTATCTTGGCCATGTTCCCCAGTGCCTCCCCCACGAAGGACTTGATCGCCACTCTCCAAGACTTGCGAGCATGGGCACCTTGGCGAAAGGGCAGCCCGCAGAAACCACAAGGGGACAAGGGCCTGGTGCCGTCTTTACATCTCCTTATCTTTGTCGCCCTGCGCCACAAAGATAGGATCCGTCTCAAAGGGAGCTGACAAAACCAGACGCCTAATCTTTGGATCCAACAGGTCCGGAAATTGAAATCACGCCATAGGCTTCTGAATGGAAAGTCTATCTCGCTGTAGCACTGTTAAGAAGACTATTTGCAGAACACTCTACTCCACTCAGTAAGGTCCCTGATATCAGGACGGCTATGCAAAGAATGCTTGCGGGTGAAGGGTTCAAGAGCTCCGATAGGATTGGCTTGGCCAGGATTCAGAATTTAGGCGCTGCTAAACATGTTCAAGGCCCTGCACCCATGGCTTCCGATGGATAGTCTTCGTGGCTGTAGGCGACATAGGGAACAGAGGTCGACCTTACGGGGATCTATATGGATAAAGATCTGGGGCACAGAGCTTTAATTAATGCTATAATACTATTAGTATACTATACTATACTATAGCATAGTATAGTATACTATTTTATACTATAGTATACTATACTATACTATAGTCTGCTACATCTTGCCAAGGACACGGCCCAAGCGAGCAAGGCTTCCTC